AAACGAACGAAATGAATGCTCTACTAGAGTTACCTGGAGATGTTTTATTTGTTTGTAATGGTAACGTTACATCCGTGCCGCGAGAAGTTTCAATGGGGACATAACACACCCGCAAAATATGCCTATGCTCGTGTCCGACTCCTCGCTCAGTCAGTCTGCCGTTTCCTCTTTCTCTGTTCCTCCGACAATGCTTTCCTAGCTTTCTGCATCTTATATGCCGGCTCAGCCATGACGATAGTGTGACAAACTCCATCCATCTACCTTGTTCCTGTGTGTATGTGTGCAGTTGCCGTAAAGGAATATGTTACATCGCGAGAGCTGATATCTTTCGGATACTTCCTGACGCGGCCCGCCGCACCGAAGTTGCAAGTGAGATTTTTTCGCTCACAGGCACCAGGGGGGTCGAGACGCCCACCATTCAACCCGAAAGAAGTTATATAACCATTTTAATAACTCTGAAGCTGTTCAGTTAAGCTAAAAAAGCTGCATAGTGTCCCTTTAAACAGACAGTTTATGGTCACTTTGTATGACATGTATGACTTGTTTTTCCTACTTTTCCTACAAAGACAAAAACTGAGATCAAACCCCCTGCAGTAAAACAATAAAACAACCCCCAGGAGAGAAGACACCGCCTTGCCTAAACTTATCTCCTCGTTTATCTATGCATTTCCCCTCCTCCTACTCCCTCCCTTTCTCCCTGATTCAAGTCACTGAAAGTATACTGAGAATGTATAGATCTCACATATGATGTATCATGTGAATCTATTGTTTTTTCCTTTTCATATTTGGCATAATTTTAAATGTCTCAGTGTGATTGGTAAAATGGTCTCAATTTCATTGCAGTCATTGTTATTATGAGAAAGATAGAACACTTAGGAGAATTATGTTCTCCTTTTTGGGTGGTGTCTCATCAAGATATCTGATAATGCTCTCCTCTCCCCTGAAACCAGGTGTAACCCCCTGATGAATAGACCCAAGACAACTCTAAAAATATTTGTACAAGCCTTTTGGTCTGGTCTGTTAAAGGAACACTCCGACTTTTTGGGACTTTAGCCTATTCACCTTATCCCCCAGAGTTAGATAAGTCCATTCATACCTTTTTCATCTCCGTGCGTGCTATAAGTCTGTTTGACGCACCCACCGCTAGCCTAGCTTAGCACAAAGACTGGATGTAAATGGTTGCAGCTAGCATACTAATCCAAATAAGTGACAAAATAGCGCAAACATTTTCCTATTTACATGTTGTGATTTGTATAGTCACAGAGTGTACAAAAAACTACGTCACATGAGACACAGACATATTTTAACAGTATAAATACTGGGAACTATATTCTCTGAAGGCGAAGCACTGCTACTTGGGCGGAGTAATAACCGCAGCACCTGAGACGCGCCGTGGTGAGGAGCAGAGAGTTCGTTCAGAGTTTGGGTACGGTACGTCTCAGGTGCTGCGGTTATAACTCCGCCCAAGTAGCAGTGCTTCGCCTTCAGAGAATATAGTTCCCAGTATTTATACTGTTAAAATATGTCTGTGTCTCATGTGACGTAGTTTTTTGTACACTCTGTGACTATACAAATCACAACATGTAAATAGGAAAATGTTTGCGCTATTTTGTCACTTATTTGGATTAGTATGCTAGCTGCAACCACTTACATCCAGTCTTTGTGCTAAGCTAGGCTAGCGGTGGGTGCGTCAAACAGACTTATAGCACGCACGGAGATGAAAAAGGTATGTATGGACTTATCTAACTCTGGGGGATAAGGTGAATAGGCTAAAGTCCCAAAAAGTCGGAGTGTTCCTTTAAGGGAAAGTGGCAGAGCTGTCTTTGGGAATCTGTAACCAGAAAAACCCCTTGCAGTGCTGTGTCAGTGTCTAATCGAGTCTTGCGCTAACACTCACACACCACTGTGTGTGTGTCTCTGTCAGGTGCATTTCTTACTCTTCCGAGTCATCTTTGAGCAATTGATGTTATGTAGTTATTATTTTTGAATTGGCTTTTAATTGTTTATTTGTGTAATTGGCATGATGCATTTTAACCTGACAAATAAAATATGAATCTTGATTTATTCTGTATGATTCTGAAATCAGTTTTTCTATATTAGATTAATGTGTGGAGTCTGGTGTTACTTCAAATCTTTGTCCAGGATAGATCAAACCAAAGGCACTAATGAATGGAGCAGGGAGCAGATCATTCGGGACCTTCCGATTTCTGACTATTAAGGTCCTTGCACACTGAGTCTGAAAGGCTTGCTCAAATTTCACAGCCTGGAACACAACTAGCCTAAGTTATGAAGTTCCTGCTGATATCTTTCAAGACCTGATGGTCGTTAAAATGTAAAGAGTTCATTTGTTCTGGAACTCTGAAAGATCTTCAAAATAACTTTGATTATGATCACGATACTATTTAGTTTATAATAGGTGCAAGTTGATGAGGCTATACCATGAGCATAAATCCGCATATAAAAGGTAAAAATGGGACTTCTTCCTCCTCCTGTCTGAAGAAGGGGTTAAAAAATTGTGATGATGAACCAGGTCAATGACATCATCGAGTGCAATCGAGTGCCAGCCTAGTGCTATTTTGCAGGAATAGTTTAGTATACATGTTGACAATGTATATGTGGATTGGATAATTTAAACATTAAGTGTTCAACGTGTTAATGTTTTGACTGTGGATAGAGAGCCATTGTTTGTTTTAAATGATTTCTTTATTGTATACATTTGCATAGTATAGCACATGTTAGATCGTCCCTGTCTGAGCCAATGTTTTGGAGGTGGGTTCTGGTGCGCATGTTTCAAGATGGAGAGAGACTCGAGTGCTATGAGGTGTTAAATGTTTGAGTTTGTGGTTGTATGTTGTGCATGTTTGTATTGTGATTATTGTATGTCAGAAATGAGTTCTTGAACATTAGTTATATTTATGTGCCAATGTTTTGCTGTGGAGTGTTACGGGGAAAGGTTCCACCCTGTGACAATGATTTGTCCCACTAATGTTTGGCGGGAAACGTGTGTATTTAAACCATTGTCTGATCAGGTTTGAAAGGAATGTTGCATCTGTGTGTACTGTGCAAACGATTGAACAGGTTTGAGGTGAGACATGCTGATAATTTTGTGGATGTCCCACTAGGCTTTGTTTAGTGCCAGTTTTTGCTGCTCACAGCATTTTTTCTTTTGTTTTTAGCACCAGTATATGTTGCATTAAGTTTTAGTTGTATTTTTTTTTGGTTTCTTTGTTTTTTTTTGTACTTCATGTGGACTGCACCTTGTGAGCTGCCGCTTCTAAATAAACCACCACTGGCATTTTGAAAACCACTCCATTGTACTGAGCCTTCCAAAACTTCTCCCAGGCCTCTCGACAACACATCACACGACAAAAATATATAATATTTTGCTCATATTTTAATGGTTTAGTTAAACGTGTAGTGTTACTAAAACAAATATCCCCTCTAGACATCACTTGTGGCCACTACTGTATATACACACAGTCATATACTGGTTTCCTTGTTTTATGGGGACTTTCCATAGACATGATGATTTTTATACTGTACAATCTGTACAGTGTATCCCCTAAACCTTCCTCTAAACACAGCGCTAACAGAAAACTTTCTGCATTTTTACATTTATGTATGATTTATAAGCTGTTTTCTTCATAGGGACCAAAAAATGTCAACACAAGGTAAAAAATTACTGGTATTACTATCCTTGTTGGGACATTTGGTCCCCATAACGTAGGGAATAACAGGTACACGCACACACGTATGTGAAATTTTGCAGTCAATGGGTCTCATTCATGAAACACGAGCAGAACGAATTTTTGTGTAAATCATGTGTAAAGTGGTTCTGGCGTAAATTTTCGGATTCATTAAAATGTTCGTATTTTCCAAATGTTAGTTGGTACACAAGAAATCTACACCTGCTCCCAGCCACGCGTAAATAGTGCGCTTAACACCCGAACGTTTTGCTCATTAATAAGGCTGCATTTTAATTCACCTTAATCGGGTAGCTACATATTTGCACAGCATTTTGAAAAAATATTATATATAATAATTACATACGGTTTTTCTTATCATGAGAGCCAGTAATAGCATCTGCGGTGGTGGTCCTTCTCCAGCTTGAATAGCCTACTATTTTTCCGAAGTGAACTAATTTGTTTTTTTGCTCTCAAGCTTAATGTCGAACCATTTTCTTCTCACTTCTGGGAATGTTCGATTAATAGATAACAGATGAAACTCCATTAACTGCATCTGTAATATGCTGCCAAGCTTCCTTTTTTTAGGACCCGATACGCCACTATGTACGCTTGAAAATAAAATGTGGCGTTTTGAATGAACTTCTGATAATAAAACTTCAATTTCTGCATCTGAGATTTTTTTTTCATTCGCATTCATGTCATAATATGATGCCCATATATAGTTGTCAGTCGGATTTAATGGGCGGGATTTATGGTAATTGAGAATGAGCGTGCACGCGCATCCCATTTACGACTGATTGGAATTCATTAACACACACACACATTTCACTATCACATCTGACGTTTACGAAGTATTTGTGAATCAGGAGAAGAGTTTTCGGGAAGGTCTCTTTACGCGCAAATCACTCGCATATTTACTCGTATATTTACGAATGTTTCATGAATGAGACCCATTGAATGCACTTACTGGCAAGCTTGTGTTATGTTACTGTATCTATTACATGTGGTTTAGGTGGCTTAATTTTTGTATATTGTGAACCGGTATTTACACCCTTGATAATTTGGCTATTATAAAAACCTGTTCACCTAAATCATCTGCATTGTTGTGGCAGTTAACTTGGAATGTAGAGTTTTGATTTGTCTTTGTGTGACGGATAGAATGACTGGTCAGAGACTGAGTCAATGCTGTTAACCCTGGACAGGTTTTAAAGAGATCTATTGTACAGAGAATCAGGCAAACTAAGGTGTATGATCATTTGATACAGCATTTCAAGCCTGCCTGCAAGTCATGTGTCATAAAACATTCTTCAGATGAAAATTTTAATTTAATTTGAGTAACGAGTATGATTTACAGACAAATATAACAGGTTAATGTGCCCTCTGCCTCTAAATTCACAATAAATTACTTGTTTCCAAAGGTGTGTTATTCCAGTTCATGAACATCTTTGCCCTCTTCCAGCATGCATGTGCGGGCAATTGCGCCGGTCACGGCATATGGGTCACAGTTAGCGGCAGGACGGCGGTCCTCAAAGTAACCACATTTATCCTGACCCACCTGACGAGGGATACGGACACTCGCCCCGCGGTCAGCAACACCTGCTGAGAAATTACTGATGCTGGCGGTCTCGTGATGACCTGTGAGGCGACGCTTGTTATCTTCTCCACCGTGTGCGTCGTAGACTCGAATATGCTCTGCATGTCGCTTACTCAGTTTCTCGATGGCTTTCTCAATCTGCCTGATGAGAGGAGGACGATGGAGGTTAGATGACATGGAAATAACACTGTGACACAACTCACACTTTTATATTTGTCTTTAGTCTCTCTGACTTTTATGATTTTGCGTGTGTGTGTGCATAAGTGAGTACATACTCGATTCCTCCTTCTTCTCTCATTTGCACTGTGCTCACATTGATGTGGCAACCGGCTCCGTTCCAGTCTCCTGTCATGGGTTTTGGATCCAGGGTGGCCACCACTCCGAAATCTTCACACACCCTGTGTAGCAGGAAACGTGCCATCCACAGATGATCTCCCATCTCAATTCCTTCACATGGACCCACCTGGAACTCCCACTGCAGAGAGAGTAAACTATCCTCACTGGCCATCCAGTAGATAGATATACATAATAGAGATCTACATATGTTGTGTTTTTGTAAATAAATAGTGTCTACTGTATCTCTACCTAATAACTTCATGGTAGTGAGTTACCTGAGAGGGCATGACCTCTGCGTTAGTGCCACCGATTTTGATGCCAGCATAAAGACAGGCTTTATAATGACAATCCACAATGTCTCTGCCAAAGGCTCTGTCAGCACCAACACTGCAGTAATACGGACCTGACAGAAGAGAGACGCAAAGTTGCCCTCTTAAAAATATAGGATTGTCACAGATGCCATTTTATTGCTAAATCAGACACATAAAAACTCTCTAAAGGAATGTCAGCAAACCTGAACATGTACAGTAAAATGAGTCACAGGCTGAGAGTGTTTTCTGATTGGCTAAAAGAGTGTGGCCCAGAGAGCCACAAAAACTTGTTTTGTTTTGGGCATCTATCAGGTACTGAAACTTAAATGTTACTTGAAATCAAATAAACATTTAACAAATGTAAGAAAAAAACTATTTAAACTTGTTAAACTTGTTTTATTTCAGTTAGTCACAGCATTTTTCATTTATTTAACTTGATGTACAAAGTTAACTGAAATAATACTGAAATAAAAATGAATACAAACTATATTATAAACATATTTGAACACAACAAAGTGTTCTTAAAAACTATCAAATTGAAATATAAAAATAAAATCTATTATTAAAATATGAATAAATATAATATTATCTCAATGATACTAAAATTGCACTGCTATACAGACATTGTAAGTGTGGTTATTCAAAATATCCCACAAAGCACCTTTAAAACCAAAGACCTTTCCCATTGCATTAAAGGTGTTACAAATTATCATTAAGTTTCATGTTGCGCCCCTTAACCTAGACTGTGGATGTAACAACTCATGATAACATTCAAATCACCTTGTTTTTTGGGGTAGCCTAGTCTGGGCCAGCCATAAGGGTGTCCATCCACACCTAGGAGAGTATATTCCTGCTCCATTCCAAACCAAGGGTGGAGATCTTTGACCTTCTCCATTTCCTTTTTACAGTTGTTACGATGATTCGATTCTAAGAGAACACATGAAGGTACCAGGGTTTAAATCATCTACAGTTCTACACAACTTCAAAAGATAGCATCATCTTTCTATTTGGTTTGATGGTGTGACACCTGCCTGAAATGTTTCTTCTATATAATGTTATACATATAACATTATATAGAAGAAATATCACACATATATATAAGCAGTATCAGTAATCAAGACCTGATGTGTGCAACTAACCCATTAACATCTTAAAACATTTTTCAGTGAATTTTAAAATCCATTTTAAAAAATATGGTGCTTTTAGAACTTAAATTACAAATAAGGCAACAGTTTGCATGACTTCTTTTTTTCAAGTTGCCATGACTTAAATCTGCCCTAATTTTAACAACTAACAACTTCGATTTTCCAAATCTACTCCTTTTATCAACAAGTAATACAATTTAAAAAAAACTGTGGTTTAATAATGTGTCATTTCTTTTAATAAGAAATTGAAATAAGCATTCAAAAACGCTCAAAAATACTGTGATTACATGAAGCAGTAACAATCATTTTGCAATCATCAAGTAATCATTTTGAGTTGAGGAACAAACTCATCCTGATATCACAAGAAAATAAGTTTCTAAATGTGTCCGTAACAATGTACAAGAAACTAGCAAACTGCCAAACAACGTACTATTCATTATTAATGCACCAGTGCATGTTGGGAAGCAGGTGAATGAGACTGAATAAAAAAAAAATTCAATACAGGCCTACATGAACTAAAAATGCATTAATCCAATTTACCTGTTATACTTTAAAGATGAATTAATAAATAAATAAAAAAGCTGCACTAAGATGCATTGCTTGGGCTCCTTTTGAATGTGGCTCAAAACAGTAAGTAAATCAAAAACTACAATAAGTAAATCTTTAGCATTGTTTACTTTATTTTTTGTTTTGTTTTTGTTTACAGTTTCACAATCATACCTGCAGGTTCCCTGGTGGGCTCGAGCACTTCACACAGGACCAGTTTGTTTGGGTCCAAAATGAAGGGGTCCCTGAACATGCAGACAGGAATCAGTAGCATGTCGCTGTTGCGTCCTTCAGACTGACCTGTGCTGGAACCATCAAAGTTCCATTCTGGTAGATCTGCCAAAGAACAAGAAAAACCAGCATTAACAAGATGCTGGAGATAAAAACAAAGAAAGTGAAACTGCTCAGGTAAAAACAAAAACTTGCTACCAGCTATGCTCTTTGGCTCCGAATCCATGGTTCGAGTCTTGGCGCGCAGACCCTCCCCAGAGCCATCAATCCAGACGTAAGTGACCTGACAGAAGTGACCCTGAGGCAGACTGAGATAATGCTGCCGCAGGGCCTTGTTGAGGCTAGAGCTGTCAGATACGCAAGACATACTGGACCCGATTTACAGTAAATAATGTATCTGGAGAAGCAAAACAAGTAGAACATAGACTATGCTGTCAATGTAGTTGTTTATTAAAATATCATAAATATTCATTCTAATTATTTAAATATATTAATATTAAATTCTGACAAATTTTAATCTAAAACCCTTTAAATTGTACTGTTTGTCAATACTTTAATACACAAATTTGTATACATTTAAATATATAAAAATAAATAAATACTCTGAAATGTTTACAATGCAATTTAATATAATGATAGCATTTAGACTGTTAATTATCTTTTATTTACAAATATATATAATCAAAATATTATTTTTTATTTGATTACACAGTGAATAAAAAAAGCCAAGAAATGTTTTACTGCTCATTAAAGTACCATAATGTACTACTTACTCAGACAAGTGTATGTGATGTAATCGTTCCTCTTCTCACATGAAGACTGATGACCTGTGTGCTGAAACAGTTGAGTTTAAGAAGCCTGTCATCAATAAGTTATGTCGTGTGAGAGATTAAACATAAGATGGGCGTGATTTCCATTCATAGATTTGATTCTGTGATGACAAAACAAAATGAGTCATTACACCCCAATGCATTTAAACCTGTTCACCTGTAATTGCTACGATACTGCTGCTGAGTGTATCGTAGTATCGAATAGTTTTCATTCATTAATTGTTTTTATTTTCTTTCTGGTTACCTGGTATTTTATATTATTAAGATGTGAGGCAATGAAGACTTGTGCATGACCAGTATTTTCAAATACAATCTACTCAACCGTTTTCTCACCTCAGCTCTCCTGCACACACAATTACACACTACACTTAATGAGAGGCTTTTTTTCCACTGGAAAGAGAGATCAGCAAAATCAAGGCACAGAGGAACAGAGCTTTTTACTTTGATATGAACAGACACTTGCTGTAAAAAAGCTGATTACTAAAGCTGATTTATTTAAACCCCTGCAAGCACGTCACGAAGCAAACTATATAGAAACTGCTTGTTTGCAGAACAGACATAAGATTTAAATACACTTACAACCTCTTCTAATGGGTTTGGCTTTTCATTCACTAAAGGGAATCACAAGTCTTATTCCCACAAGTTACCTATAAACAGGCAAAACCAGTTTAAAAAGCAGAAGCTAAACATAAAGGAGGTGTTTATGAAAATAAATAAAAAAGTCCATCAGCTCTAATTTTCAGCTGATTTAATAAGGTTGTGAATAGATTGCACTACTCTCATATAAGTAACATTCTATATGTCACTCTCTATCACCTTTGTGTATTAAATGCAAGTTCAACAAGGGTATACATTGACTCATTTCTTGTCTGAGATCTTTTGTTTTTACTCAAAGGCTGATTTCCACTATATCCTCTATATCAATATTAGGCCTGGCCACTTCTTTGGAGACCTATAGCCTCAATCAAATACAGACGGTACAATTTGAGATTACAATAGCAAGGAAGGCAATTTTGTTGATGTGGAACAAAGTGTTTGTACCTAAATTTTAGGTGTGTCTTACAGAGTACAATTTTTTATGTATGTATATGTAGCTGTTTGTATGTGTTTCTGTATATGTATGTATAGATATTGTATGTTTTATGTATATTTTGTATTTATACATTTACCATTATTTTTATTTTTTGTTGTTGTTACTGATTTGCTGGTATACCAGCTCTTGTGTAAGAATGGGAGCAAATCCCTTCAGCCATGTCCCAAAATCTAGTGAAAAGCTTCTCAGAAGATTTTAAAGAGTTCCAGCTTTTTGTTAATGTCAGTGTTTTTGAAATGAAATGTTTTATATATAAAAGTACATATGAATTCCATGTTTGGGTGTCTACATCTACTTCTGGTAAAATGTTAACAAATTAAAATGTGAAGCAACCTGTTCATCCAGTCTCCATTGTGATGTTTTGGAACATTTACAAGCATAAAACAAAAATGACGTGGCACAAGATAATCTTGATGACGTAACCTTAAAATGAAATGTAACCTGTTTCATTAAATTAAATGTATCAGTATTTCTGGGTGGTTCATACTGATAATAAAATAATAAAAGCAAAACTAAAACTATACTTGCTTAACATATTAAAGAGCCAATTCAAACCTTTCTGGTGATACAAATCTAAAAAGAACAATGGTAAAATGTGTAAAAGATGCTTGGTGAATGCCTCAAATGTGAAGAAAAAACCCCCCATTACTACTAACATGAAGTGCGTGTTTAATTAAAGTCCTTCACACACTGGTTAACACACTTGTTACATCTAAAACAAGAAATAGCTTTTTTGTTTTATAAACAATATGCAGGAAAAACATACAAATTATATTTGCAAACCTGTTTTGACATCATTTACCAAATGGTTTTGATCAAAAGTGATCCGGGATTAAAACCCATGCTCAAGTGACCAGTGCTATCAGATTGTGATTGTTCAGAGCTCCCAGATCACCTCAGGTTGGGACTGAACCTTGCTTTAGGCTACCACAACTCAAGGCAATATACTCAGTTTAAGGAAATAAAATTGCAGCTTTCAATTTTTTTTTTTTTAAAGGAATTGGCCACCCAAAAATGAAAATCCTGTCATAATTGACACACCCTCATGCTGTTCTAAACCTATGACTTTCTGTCTAATGTGGAAAATAAAGCCTGTTCCTAACATAAAGCTATTGTATGTATGCAGAAGACTTGGAATATAATGCATGAGACATGTGGATTACTTTTGGATGATTCAATGTCTTCTGAAGCAAAACGATAGGTGTGTGTGGAAGAAAACTATTAGTACGTTTTTTACTATAATTCAATGCTTCTGCATGGCCTTTGTCATATGAGCGCTCATCAGAGGGACATTATGACACGTGACATAAGTGTGTTGTAAAGCTCGCACAAGAAGTGGCGATCCTTCTGCGCGTAGTACTTCACCACGTATACTTACGTTTAAATCGAGCTGAACTTGAGAATAAGTCTAGCAGCTCAGCGAAAGTGATGGTTTATAGATAAAGGAGTTTAAAATATTAGTATTATTTCTTTACACACACCTAATTTCAATTCAAAAGACATTGATTCATCCACTGGGGTCGTATGGATTACGCTGTGTGTGGTTTTTCAAGCGTCAACCAAGCAGCAACCATTCACTTGTATTATATGGACTCATAGAGAAGGATTATTTTAGTAAAAATCTTCATTTGTGTTTATCTGAAGAAAGTAGGCCTTGCATGAGTAGGCCTATATGATGAGAGAATTTTTTCATTTTTGAGTGAACTATCCCTTTAAGAAAAGATATTCAGAATTACAGTGAGAAGGAAAACTGTAAACTTTGAGCATCACAGCTGCAGTTACTACATAATCATGAACGGCAGTGAGCGGTCCAGCATATCTTCAGTGAGTGATCACAGTGCAGGATGGATGATTAAGAATCACATTTATGGATCATATGTCCACAGCAACTCTCATGTCATGCTTTCCTGACAATACGTCCAGATTTCTTTGAGTCTCGTCTCCTTGACCGGACCGGCTGGCTACTGACTCGCCACGTTCCATGACAGACACGGTCACTGTGGTTAAGAACAAGAACAACACAGACAGTTATGAAGGCATACACATATGCACATAGTTAATTTGCTGTCTAAATATGGGCTGTTTTGTGTTTTATGGTAATACTGTATCCTTTTGAGACACTTATAGGTTGATTTCCCAGAAAAGTCAACAGTGTGAAATGAATATTAACCCTTAAACACATACCTCAGGTCTTTAGTGACCTGGGACGTCATTCACGTCATTGGGTCAAAATCACCATAAAGTGCCTTTGAGACATCAAAATTTCCACAAAAAATTCAGAGATTTTCCATTTACCTTTATATGTGTTGTATTAAGGAGACCTTAGGCTGTTAGAAATGCATATTGGCCAAGCTCCAGCAGTTTTTTAGCCTGGGAAAACCCAGAAAACTTCCGGCAAATTTAGATTTGCTCTGAAAGTCAGTCTGGCAAAGAGCTCATTCAAGCCCATTTCCAATCCGTTGAAATCGAGGCACCAACCAGAAACGTTGGGGCGGGCTTTACACGATGACGACAGCGCTGGGATTTTGAAGCAGATTTTGTAGCCTACACTACAAAGATGGATGCCACCGTCGAACATCACTCGTTCGAATCAGCTATCGCGTCTGTTTTAAGCGATTTGAACGTTTCCTTTTTGTTAAAAACCGAGCAAAGAACAACACACGGAGATGTTTCTCCGCCGCTCTGCATACGTCATCTCCTTCATCGCTCTGATTGGGTTTAGGTCTATCCGCGACGTCCGTTGCTGACGCCCCTCTTGAAATGATTTGTCTATGACGCTTTGCCAGACCATAACTCAGTTACAACTGAGAATGGTCTGGTTTTAACTAGGCTAGCAGTTTTTATGAATTAGCTGCAAGCTAACAATATACGAGCAAACCATAAAATATGTCCACCCTGTCATGGACAAATTCAAAGTAGAATATATACTTTTTCATTGCATAGCAGGGGCGTAGCCATCATTTCAAAAGTGAGGGGGACAGAATGTCAAGTGTAATACCATTTTTTTTCCAGATTTTTGTTGACAGGTTAATTGGCTTAATGTGCTATTTATTTTTAAAGCAATAAAACAGAAAGAAAGAAATGCAGATGTTCAGTACTCCTGGCTTAAAACGAGGTGGAGGTGATAAAATCCTGATCATGTATTTTAATTAGATAATACAATTTTTATTTTTCGTAGACCATCACATAGCCTACTGTGTTTCCCACAGTATTTTTGTAGGTGGATCTCGAAACTTCTAGGGGGATCCGGGGGCATGCCCCCCCTGAAGAAAATTTTGTACATTTTAAAGATAAATTCATTAATCTGGTGCACTTTGAGTCCCCCGAATCCACTGTTAAAAATAAATAATCCACCCGTCAACCCCCCAAACATATGATATTCTCTGATTTAGATATCTGATCATCGCATTACAATTATTCAAATTATCAGTGTTACTGTTAAGCATGATACTATGGTTAAATATCACACTGAAGTAGGCTGGTTTAAAAATAACATTTACTTAAAATAAAAGTTCTTCTTTTGGCAAAATAATTCAACAAGAGAAATAGGCAGAGTTATTCATCATTGTGCAACACAATTCGGATACCACATGACAACTTACTTACAGTGCTTGACTTTTTCGTGAAAAAGGAGTGAAGAGTTTTTTTGCCGTTTTGAACTCTACTATGGAACTGATGGATTCGGCGCGGGTGCGAGCATGGGCGTGTCGTAGGCTAATGTACGAGTGACTGATTACCATGGAAGCGTGAAAGTCACGTATAGTAGCCTAAATAGACTATCCTTGACTCTTTGGATTTTAAATCTCGATGTAGGGCAGGCTATACACACCCGCGAAAACCTCAGCTTGTCAGACACATTTGCCCTATGAAAAAGTGCGGGGGACGAATTTACATTTTATAAAAAGTGGGGGGGACATGTCCC